AGGGAGGAAGGTTTCTTTGGCTCACAGACTGTAGAGGTTCCAGCCCATAGTTGGCTGGCTCCAATGTGGGGTGGCCTGGCAGGGGGGCATCACAGAGGGAAAAGTCGATGGAAGACAGAAGGTAGCAAAGCAAGCACGGACAAGACAAGCCTTTTTCTGCCCCTTGTATTGTAACCAGGCTACCAGGATTAGGGAGGCGCCAAACCAATCAGTGGATTGAGTTAGTGATCACCCATCCTTAATCCTAGCACCCTTAATCCCAGCATTGTGTCATGCAGAGCCACACACTCTAGATTCTGCCACCTCTGGAATAAACCCTACTGATGACAGTAGGCTTTGGAGGGACATCTAGACGACAGAAGTCATGAGGCTTTTTTGACAGTCAGAGACATTTGTCGATCAAGAGAGCAGGCAAGCTTTAGAGTCTTTGATAAAGTAGCCACGTGCCACAGGGTTGGGTTAGGAAACATCCACCCAGGATGGAATGACACAGACAACAGAAAGCAAGAATTGTTTATACTCTTCATTCATCCCCTCAGTAAATATTTACTGAGTACCTACTACGAACCGGGCTCATTGGAGGTGCCGGGAACACAGCAGGGAACAGGACAAACTGAGTCCCTGTCCTGGTGCGGTTCCTATTCTTGGGGACTGAGATGGGAAGCAAAGAAGGACTCAGACGGCGTGTGTGATGCCGCTATAAAGAAAAGCAAAGCGGAGAGCCTGCTCTTCAAAATGGGGGGTTGGGGGCTGGAGAGATGGCTCAGTGGTCTAAAGCACCCACTTAGAACAAGCTTGGCAAAGCACAGGAACTGCGGTTCGATCCCCCAGCACCACATGCCAGCCAGCCCCGCCCCCAGGTGGGCTGAGCTGGCCACACACACACACACTAAATAAATGTTAAAAAAACAAAACAAAACAAAACAAAAAAAACAAACAAACAAACAAAAAAAAAAAAAAAAACCAAAATGGGGGGTTGGTGACCTCCCCAAAGTGAAAACATTTGGGGGTCAGATGAGGGAGCCAGCCAAGCGGAGATTTGGAAGGGAATTCCAAGCTGATGAAGGCGCCAAGGCAAAGGCCTTGGAGTGAGTGGGCGGCTGTTCCGAGTGTCGGGGGAACAGCACAGAGCCTGAAGAGTGTGGTTGGAAAGGAGGCAAAAGAGTGCAGAAATGTGACAAGACTGGAGAAGTGAGCGGAACCAGAACATGTAAAGGCTTTTTTTTTTTTTCCTGAGACACGGTCTTGCTATGGAGCCCAGGCTGCCTCCAATTCACTGAGATCCTCCTGCCTCAGCTTCCCGAGTGGTAGGATTATAGACCTGCTCTACTGTCTCTGGTCTTTCGGAAGCTGGGTTTTTGTGGCAAGTGTGATGGGAGCCATTGCCAGGCTGTGAGCCAAGGAGTGACAGGGAAGGACTACGCTTTAAAATGCTCTCTGTGGCTACGGTGTGGGGAACAGTACAGGAGCAAGAAT